ATATATATATATATATATATATATATATATATATATATATGTATATATTCTAGTCTTCCTGACAGTGCACAAGTCTCACAATAAAATGCTTTTACCTTCTTTCGAAGGAGGGTTTCTTGCCCCTACCGTAGATGTGGAAGAATTGAACACCACCATCAATAAAACTTTCCGTGTTGATGTTTCTCATTTATGGTACCCACCTTCTTACACCCGCTTCTGCCCTACATCGACATAGCTCACCCAAATTTTGTCAACCAGTAGTTCATGCAAAAATCTTGACTTACCTCCTTGTTCTGTACGACTTTATGACATCTTGACAAATTCCAAGAGGATTTTAATTGTTTATTTTTATGCATCTGGTTGGTGTTCACCATAGTTTCCATTTTTAACCATTGAAGGAAATATTAACATGCTTATCCACACACAAATCATTCTATGGTTATTAAAAATAAAACATTACTACCGTTCTGTAGTCTGATATATGAGAAAAATCCTTTTTGACTGAGACTCAACTCTTGGATTTGTTTCCTACTTTGTTTGCAGTGCGTATTTTCATGCAATGCAAAACATTTATCAATAAAAACGGTAACCTATCTCGATTGGTCTTGGAGTAGAGAACTATTTGATGCTCCATTGGGCTTCGCGTGATGAATAGTAAGGTATCAAACAAGCCACCAAGCTGACTAACAATTACTTTGGGATGATGCTTAGACACACNAAACGATATTCGCAGCTAATCACGTCCACTGAAACCTCAAGATCAGATCAAATAACATGTTTGAAGAGGATAACATGGGATCGAAAGAAATGGATACCGTGAGCTGACTAATATAGATGATTACTAATATTTTTTGTGCTTTTATGTTACACCACCACCACCACCACCACACTTACTCACCGTTTCAGCTCTGTGTTCACCTATTCACCGAAGTTAACACAGAACGATGAGGGTAATCACTCCATTGTCAATCAAACTAAACTCTGCAACCAGAAAAATTCATCAGATATTTTTAATATCTTAGAATAAGAGTTTGCGTGTTTTTCCATCCATGCACTTATGAAATCAAGAATTATTTTTAGATAATCCTTGTTTCTGGATGGCGGCTTTTAAGCGATGCAATTCCATATCCTTTCTCTGTGGGTATCATGTGCTCAAACTTTAACAAAAGCTTTCCCTATCATCCTTAATTCTCATTACCCTTACAAACTTTGATTCAACTAATGTCTCCTTCCCAAATTGGATTTTGCACTATTCTATTCAATAAACACAAATGTTCTATATTTTTTGTTAACTTCATTTCACGTTTTAAAGTATTCCGCATTTTATTTGGTACACTCGTAGTATAAATGAAGCATATGCTGAAAAGCTGGGAAGCAATGGACAGCTGCCTCTACCTGGTTGGGTCTCATCAACCGTGCGAATCCACTGACTCAACTGAGGATCGAACCTACAATCTCACAGGTAGAACGCAAGTACACCACCCAGTCGGCCATCGGGCAGCTGACCAGACCGCTTCTCATTTTGAATAAACACGGTATAACACAACCCAGCTTGTTGCGAGTATCGGTCCTCGCTCATCTCAGCACTAACCTCCGGAGTTATAACTCGGTTGGAAACTTTCACACTCTGATCACTTGTTTCCTGACAGAAATGGAGGGTCAGAAAAACTGTGATCAGTTGCCCGGAGGCCGAGTGGGTAATATGCTTGCTTTCTACCTGTGAGGTCCCAGGTTCGATCCCCAGTTGAGTCGATGGCTTAGCACTGCTGATAAGACCCAACCAGGTCAAGGCGACTGTCCAGTGCTTCCCAGCTTTTCAGCGCACGACTCAATCGTATGCTATAAACAAACCAAACCCGCCACTACTCTCGTATTTCTAATTTTATTTGTTTCCTATCGTCAAGGTAACTGAAGTCGGCATTCTTTCAACTTAATCACGAAGCCAGGCCGGCAATGTAGACTTTTCCAAACTTGAGTGCCTGTCGTAATTATGAAGGCATATTTATTTATCAACTTGCATGTAAACCGACTGCCACGGTAGATAATGATCAAAATCCACCGTGGAGTCTACCGGACTACCGCTGGAGGTAATCAAGGAGATCCTATTTCGGAGTTTAGCTACTTTGTTAGACGCTTTAAGTGCTTGGCAGTAAATCCCAAATCTAGTGAAATGATAGACGTTTCGTTATCTAAGTTATGTTGACAAGGAATCATTCCCGAAAGCTCAATAAATCGCAATGTTCCTTTTGACCAGTGATGCATCTGTGAAACATTTTTGATTACATGAATGTACATATTGTTTACACAATTTACTAGTAATTCTTTAAATTTATTTACATATAAAAACATTACCCTGTTGTATTTGATTCTATGCTTGTAAACTGCAAAATTGGGCATATGGGTTAGCTTCTATATTTTACACAAAGAAGCAGTGTGGTTGACTCTCTATATAGCACAGAGTTACGTGTGATTTTACTAACCAGTGTAACATGACTGGCAGTTTTTCTCTCTGTATCAGTCACCTATATTATCCCCCTTGTTTATGAATGTAGTCAGCCAGGCAATGTACCGGCACAGCTGATTTAGAATTAAGAAATGCGGTCAAATGCGCACTTGCATTGTTTATTTGTTGATAAGAACAGCGACGTCAACATCGTAAGGGTATAATTTTCAGACAACGAACAATTCAACTTGCCCGTTCGTTGGGCATGCCTACTGACGAAATGTTTAAATCATTTAATTCCCTCATGTTCGGTTAACAAACGAGCTAACTAAAATGGTATTTGTTAGACAATGATGAAAAGTCAAAGTTGAGTTCAACTAGGGGATCGGAAAGCTGTCCTTTGGAGACAGTGGCTTCCTTAGCCATCGTACTGGGTCCATAAGAAAATAAACAATCAACTCCATTTGTACAAACTGTACAACAGATGTGTTTATCTTAAATGTCACTCTTCAAGTATGCACTTCCATTCATACAACCTGTACGGGAATGGAGGAGCACAGAACACGAACATGCATCAGATGCTTCAGAATCCGGTATTTTTTTCTTACCCCTCAGAGTCACGTTGTTTGATTGATTGTTTTCATCGAACACAGAAACTATCTGTCCAAAGAAGATTGGGAGATTTGTGAAGCTCGACAGCAGATGTGAATAGGGACTGGGTTGTGCCACTTTGCAGTTTAACTTGCCATGCTTTATTTTCAATCAATCGAACGATTTTAAAATTTGGTGTCGAATGGAAATGGGTACCCTAGGAGTGTGTGAAGACCAATTTGGCGTCACAATGACACTTGGCAATGAGACAATAATGATTAAAACAAAAGCACTTCCAAGTACATTCATTCAACACAGATCAGTCTGTTTTTCCAGCGTCAACTAACAAATTTCAACCAGGATAAAACGGCAATCTTTCGACTTGTACCGGCCTATTTCATCTGTTTTTAGTCCCTCTGAATAACTGTAGAACATGAGTTTCAATTCAATTATTTCATCCTTAGTCTTGCAAAAAAGATGTTAACAAAATCGATCTATCCTGATAAAAGTAAACACTTGTTCAGATGGAACTCGTTCTCAGCCATGCACTAACCAAACCAAACAAACAAACGTTGCTATTTGAGTTGTAGGGGGTGAGAGTTAGCGAGAACGGAATTCAGATAAAAAGCGTTGTTGTGCAATGATTGCATCGAATGATTAGTTTACTACTCGTATCAAACTATGACACCTTTTAGCGCTCTTATTAGCAGTGAAGTAATTGCTTTTGATGAATTCGCTGAAGGACGAAGTGAGTAGCTGAGTCCCGACACATTTCCATTTTTACTAAACTAGCTCAAAAATAACAGATAACCCCCAGTTCAGGTGTAGACGGATGATCGGATACGCGTTTCGGACATTGTATAGTAGCAACGGTCTTTCCAGCGTTTACCTCAATCCAAATTATGCTCATCGAACATAGGACGTGAAAAACAATATGAAACACATTGCGTGAACTCTGCCTGAGTGAATAAATCAAGTATCTGTTTCGGTGCAGCATACATTACCTAAGGTACAGCAGGCCAATATCATATAGTGTATACCTTTGAGTGATCCAGTCCGACGCTGAGGAATAATGTGTGCCAAATCATAGTGTTCGTCTGAAGCAATCTGTTGAGGGTCTGTCAGAGTGGTTCAGGTGGGTCACATTTCGAATCGACAGTCCTTGTTGATTAACGGGAATTAATCACAACAGCGACCTAAGGTTTCTGAGTTTGAATCCCGCCATCTTCATATATCTCCGCTTCTGTGTTTCCTGTGAAAACCTTTGTTTCTTCGCGGCCCCAGTCATGAAAAAGCCTTCAGTGTGCTAAAACATTAACTGTTGCTACACGCCGAAAATCGTGAGAGTTTGAGGAGTCAAAATTATGCGTTCTACACTAATCATTTACCTAGTCGATTAGATGAAATTTGTAATTATATTCAACTATAGCTGAATTTTCAAACGATGAAGCGACTTATATTTAATCGGTGGATCGATAGCCTAATGCAATGATTTATTGATTGATTGATTGATTTTTTTATTGATTGGTTGGACCCATCTTAATTAGTTCCTAATTCTCCCAGTGAGTGATTTTTATAACTTTTCTGCTTTCAGTTGATTCAGCCACCGCTAATATTACTTTTGTTTTCTGTTCCATGCTTTTATGTCTTCAGCTGCGGATAATTTTTTTCCTTCCGTTTCTTTTGGACATAACTTGGACATCAAGAACATTTTAATGATTTTTCAAATTTGTCCTGCCTTCAATTGCACTACTTTTGAATAATTTAAGTTACCTTTTGCTTCTGAACCCGTGCAAAACGATGAGTGGATAGGAAACTCATCGGCGCCAGGCAGCGCGGTTATAAAGTGGTATCACCATATCTCTGTCCTCCACGCATGCGGTTTTGCATAGATACACATACCCACAAAGGCACACAATTCCTCTCTGGTGCAGACCACAAACAGTTCTTTCAACCTCAATAAATTACGAATGTGAACCAATTCCAACCGCACTTCTCTCAATTTATGCAGACTACAAAAGGGAGGGCTGTAAATTGGTAATCAATGAAAACGTCACCCCTGTCTTGTGTCCTTTTTGAAGCATATGGAGTCATTCGAATCATATGACAGAGGAGATGATCATTCCCACATACCTTGTACTAACTCACATGACATCGTTCATTTTCAGTATTTTTTCAATAAAAACGAAAATAGTTGAGTACTTCATGCGGCAGCAGTTTCAAATGCGATTATAATCAAACTGCCTTTCTGATTATTTTACATCAATTGTAATACTGCGAGAGCATGCATTTACACGACAACTGCATCAATTCCGACCAAATAAAGGATAATCATATTTATTAACTAAAAACGTGAAGGGTTATATCCACAAACCGTCCTCAGGATCATGCCTCTTGGTTAAACGTTCCGGAAATAATCTAACATATGCGATCAATCNGTCAGTCCCTCGTTTTAAGAATTGGCAACCTCCATAACTTGACGACATACTAGAGCACATAAAAACTGCCCTCACTGGTCCACTCAATTTATTTGTGATAAGTACCCAAACCCCGGTAAAGATTTTACATGGCTACATCCTATCTCCTCGCCTATCTCCACGGTTTCCTTGATAGTTAAGATTTAGATCCGGAGTTGGAGGCACCAATTAGAATAAAACTAACGTCACTTCCAATCACTGTCATATCCGGTCCTGACTGACAACTATTCACTATTGGTTAGTTAGAATGAAATCAGTGAGCACATAAACGGAGGAAATCGGACAAAGTTATCATCAAGGTAATATCTATTTACTCAGCATACATATGCTAAGCACTGTTTCTTGCAAATAATTCTAGGCTCCTATAAGGTTACTGCAACCAACTGGATCCTTCAAAACTATGTGTCAACGACAACAGGTGCCAAAAAACCTAGAAATTTCTATCCGTAGTGCCCCATAAGGAGAAGACAGAATGTGTGGTGGTGGTGGCGCTGGTGGTGGTTTGCGTTTCGTGAAAAGCCAGTCATCAGAGTTTAAGGAATGTTTTTTCCTCTGAATATGTCCCACGACCAAAACCAGCAAGGAATGATCCACAGAAAGAGGCATGAATCATCCCGCCGCGCGATTGAGAATTGACTGTTTGTAATCGAACGCATACATCGTTTGCTTTTGAATTGGATCCATAGACGTTTTTCACAGCCAGCTCGCCTTCTCGTTACAGTGGTGCCGTCGCCCAAATCCGCACAACGCAATGAAGTTACCTTGGCCAAACGCGTTTGTAGACGGAGATGTGGAAAAGTGGATTTTGAATTAATCGCATCGTGCAATGGCATCAAAAGGAGTGCGCATATGGTCACCGCGCTGGGTGCACTGCTCACCGGACGAGCGAATGCCGCTCACGATCTGAATTTGGAAAGCAATCAAGCCCGGGATCAGTAGAAGTTGAAATCTGCATTGGTGGCAGACTTTTCAAAAGAGGGTGACCGCGAGAAGGCGATGAACCGGTTTTACACTGCGGAGTACAACCGGATCGATGACTTGTTGGTGCACTATCGATACATAAAGCGACAAATTTCCCTGGGCCTGCCGGAGGCGAATAACGAAACACCGGAGAGGCTTGCCAAAAACCGGTTCATACAAAGCATGCCGGCACCGCTGAAAGACAAACTGAGACTTGCGTTGGCGTGCTGAGTGAATGATGCACAGGGCCTAATTTCGACTGCGCAAGCCTGTCAACATGATGACGTGGTTGCTCGGGTGGATGCTTCTGAAAATGAAGATAAGATTGAACGAATATTGGAAGAAATTGGAAGACTGAAGGAGGAATTGAAAGGCGGATCACACGGAGGGAGACGTTTCAGGGCCCAAGTTCGACCAAAGCGGTGTCTCAGTTGCCACGGTATAGGGCACTTTGCCCGTTTTCGCTCAAACTGGCACATTCGTCCGTATTTTTTCTGTTTCTAATCCGACTGGTCGAGGGGTTCCAAGGCTCGAGGTTTTCATTTTGGGACGGTCAAAGTTGGCTGCTATTGATATGGGTGCCGGGATTTTCATTGTGCCTCAGGTGGAAGGGTCTCGGTGAGACCGTGCAATGTGAGCGTACGTGTGGTTGGGGTAAACAATGGGTAAACAATGTGTCAGTGTGCGGATTGGTGGGTGACCGTTACCCATGAGGTGGTCTTGATCGAAGGTGTAACTGTGGTTATAATCGGTTTCGATCTACTCAGGCGCGTGGATGCTAACATCGATTTCGTGGGATCACAAGCACGTGAACTACACTCAGGAAAACAAACGCATTCTCTCGTCAGCGTTGTAAGGAAGTCGGCCGTTTCGCAGTGTTCCATTCCATGTGTTAAGTTATGCGTTGAGAAGTATTCCGAATTGTTTTCTACTGAGGACGACGAGTATGGATTTTGAGATTGGGTGGAGCGCAAAATAGAACTAATGCCAAGAGCAACGTGTAAACCTGTGTACCGAAGGATACCTCACAGGATGCTGTCGGAGGTGGAGAAACAGGTACGCGATATGTTGTCAGAAGGTATTATCCGTAAAAGTTCCACCCCGTACACGTCCCCAGGTGCTGCTCACTAGAAAAACTGACGGTACTTACAAATTTTGTGTCGAATTTGGAGAACTGAATCGTGTAACCATAAAAGACGCCTTTCCGATGCCACTGACGGATGAGATATTTGATCAACTCCACTCTGCACGTGTACTGTCCCTAATTGACTTGAGGTCTGGGTATTGACAACTACCAGTGGCAGCCAGTGACAGAGAGAAAACTGCATTTTGTGTCAACGGGCACCAGTACGAATTCTTCCGGATGCCGTTCGAACTGTGCAATGCACTAGCCACGGTCAGACGTCTGTTGTTGGAAAACTTGGATGGTGTTGTAGTGTACGGGGACGATATTGTAGTGTTCTTGAAGACACCAGAGGAACACGTGCATCTACTGGAAGCCGTGCTTGAGAGAATCAAAAATGCAGGGTTGAAACTCAGTGCAAAGAAATGCCAAATCGCTCGTAACACAATCACCTGCTTGGGTCATATTGTCGGCGGAGGTAAAATTAAACCGCTGCCCGAGAAGGCGGAAGTGATTCGAAATTTTTCTCCTCCAAAGTCCAAACGCCAATTGCGGTCGTTTTTTGGGATTAGTAGGATACGATGCAAAACTTGTACCGCACTTCGCTGAAAAGGCTGCCCCCTTGTTCCAGTTGCTGAGAAAGGTCAGGAAATTTGAGTGGACGCCAGAGTTGGAGACGGTCTTCCAAGAGCTAAAAATAATTATGGCTTCTGAGAGATGTCTGAAAATGCCAAACCCTGCTGAAACCTTTAGTGTGGCCGTCGATGCTGGCGATATTGGAATCGGAGCAGTGCTGTCACAACCTTCCAGGGTAATTGAATATGCCAGCCGCCTGCTCACAGACGCCGAAAGGAACTACTCGACCACTGAAAACGAGTGCCTGGCGATTGTATGGGCATTGGAGAAATGGCGAATGTATTTGATTGCGAACACCTTTCACATCAAGACAGACCACAAACCCTTGACGTGGTTGGTGACGGCGCGCGACCCTAGAGGAAGACTGACGCGCAGGGCGTATCCTCTTCAGGAATTAACGTTTAACATTGAACATGTTGACGGTAAAGATAACGGGATTCCCGACCTCCTGTCGCGTCCGATCCACGACGAAGGTATCCCATCGGAGGCCATCCCAGTTTTCCGGATGGTTTCGGACGATATGGAAATTAATAAATGTCAGCAAGAATACGACCTGGCGCGAACCATCTGCGGTCAAAAACGAAGCCGGAAGAAACTTCACCAGAAATCGGAGAATTACTGAAGATCTGGGATCGCCTGCATTTAATTAATGAGACCTTGGTGGTTGAAGTGGACATGGAACGCGGACTGAGACCTAGGCGACTGCCATTCATCCCAGCCGGCCTTCGCGAATAGCTGTTGAAGGTTGCACACGATGGAGCAACGAGTTCTCGATTCATTACGACGTCGCGTGTTCTGGCCAACGATGCGCCAGGAAGTGATTGAATACATCTGTTCTTGCCCCAAGTGCCAACATAATAAATACAAGCCACCATCAACACCGCCGATACAACCAATAGACGCCCAGAGAATACTTCAAACCTGGGGACTGAATGTATTTGAAATTCTACCTATTAGTCCAAGCGGGAACAAGTACATTGTCGTGATGGTCGAACTCGTATCTCACTGGGTGGAAGCTGTACCAACCTCAGATCAAACAGGAGAAACGGTTGCTCGGATATTTATAGACAACGTGGTTGCACGATTCGGTATTCCGGAAAATCTCATTACCGATCAGGAACCGTGTTTCGAATCCAACATTTTTCGGGAGACCTTAGAGCGCTGAGGCATCAAACGAACAAGAACGTCCCCCTATCATCCGCAGGCCAACGGAATGACTGAAAGGTTCAACAAAACAATGAAAGAATGGCTCAATAACCATCGCGGTGATTGGGAAGGAAGCCTACCGGAAATCATTTTCAACTATAGAACAACATCTTATTCCACAACAGAGATACCACCCTTTCGGAATCATATACGGTTGAGAACCCAGAACACCGCTTGATGCGTTACTCGGAAGATCCGGTGAACAGCTTTCAACGAAGGAGCGAGAGAAGCTGGAGAGAGAAGCGGTTAAGAAAGCCAGACACAACCAGCAGCGCAACAAGGCAAGGTACGACAAAGAACACCGATTACAAAAGTGGCAGCAGTTTTTATCGGGACAGCTGGTAAAAGTTGAGAAACAAGGCAGACTCGAAACAACAGGACCGGGGACCGCAAAGTTCAAGAATAGAGGTGGAGAGGAAGAACGCCAGTTTTCGGATCAATCAGGGTCCTCAAGCAAGATGGGTAAATGGTAAGGAATGGGAGCGGTGGTACACCCGCGGTAATCATTTTAGAGGAGGGGCGAGTGTGATGGAAGGTGGTACAAAGAGAGTCTTGGTAGGCGAACGAATCAAGAATGGGGCTCATCCGACCAGACACAGACGCAGCGGCGGGAAGTGCCTCGCGAGACAATGTTGACTGCTACCCGAAACCAGCGAATCGACAATTACAGATCGACAGACAGTCCGCAGCTAGCGGGAAAGATATCCACCGAATGCCACAACGTCGGAGCTGTCGATCAACGCATCTCGCGCCGTGATCGGGTCAAACCAGTCGGAATGACACGTGGAAGAAGAGGCAACGTACGTGCCAAGTGCGGACCAAGACCAACAACGAATGATCCACAGAAAGAGGCATGAATCATCCCGCCGCGCGATTGAGAATTGACTGTTTGTAATCGAACGCATACATCGTTCGCTTTTGAATTGGATCCATAGACGTTTTTCACAGCCAGCTCGCCTTCTCGCTACAATAGTAGTTCCTTTGCAGTTGAATTCAAAAATGGTCCTAGTCCTGTGGAGAACATATCGACCTGAATTTGGGTGATAGGGCTGTCTGATAGATAGAAGATAACATTATAAAGAAATGTAGTAATAATGCACCTCTTTTTGAAACCTACAGTGCCACGTAACGGGTCTGAACGACTGACTTATGGGACTAACGGTTCATTTTGTTTTGCATCTCGCTCTTATTGATGCACCGACTCAAACGGTTTGAACATAACCCTCAAGAATCACGCCACTAGCCGTGCAATGAAGTGATTGATGGCTATGAATCTATCGGCGCCCAAACTGTTAGTGAACTAAGAGCAGATCAAGACTAAACTGAAGTGCTTCTTATCTAATTACGGAGATAACAGAAACGTGGAGGTTACACAGTTTTGCGAGTGCTAACAAGATTGATTGATGTATTTTGGAATATCTTCGCTCCCGGCTTCACATGCGAATGCCTCCTGTTTCATACAATTATCAACATTGTCCGGCAAGATGCAGAAATCGCAAACGAAAGAAACAACGTTTTTCGTGAACCTGTAATTTATAGGGTTCACGTCAGACGAGGTTGTGGTTTAGTGAACTAACTTTGTTTGAGGTTTATTCGGAACACGTTATACAATTCCAAAATGCTGTCAGCATATTATTCTTGGTACAGATATGAAATAGAATAGTATAATACCATAGTTAATACAAAGGGAGGTACAGTTCGTGTAAGATATTATAGTTGAGCTTCTCTCCAGTTTTACATGAACGTTCTCAAAATCGGATCCTACTCTTCAGTGATGCGTGCCTTTGGAAAGGATAAGTACAAACTATACCTTGTTAATCACATCCAGTAAGTGCCTTATTTGAGCCTTTGCATGGAAATTCTGTACTGGAGGGTAAATTTTTTACCTAACCCGCTTATAAATGCACATCAATTTGTACTCAAAGCGATCGTTCGTGTGTCCCTGGTCCACTGAACAAACAGTTTTCAGGTACTGACTTTATAGAAAACAATGTGGTACTCGGTGGGCGAAGGT